GGGGGTAAAGGGCTGCAGGCGCGTAAGGCTGACAAACTTACCGCCATCTGTGAGCCGATCATCAAAGAAAATGTGAGAGCCTCGACATCTCACAACCCTATGTGCTACCACGACCTGTTACAGGGATAACAGTTTGAACGGTATGCAAGGATGTGTGAGATAGTGTATTGTATATTGTGGAGTATAGACCCGTTTCTAGGCAACGGCCTCGAAACAAACAAGACAAGAGCCGTTGCTAGGTAGCAGAAACAGTTAAAATACAACAATAGAAGAACTGTTGTACTATAACCGCAAGTGTTCACTTGGAAAATGCAATTACTGGTCGTGAGTCTCAAGGAGCTTGTCCTCAAGATAAACTGATTGGCGGTAAACTGCCGGTCGTAAAGTGTCTCTGACTCTGAGCTACATTCATCCCCGTGTGGAGGCGGGTTCGAATATCTCCATCATAGCCCCGTGAGTCGTCTGGACTAAATAGAGAAGAGAAAATATGTTGCCCCACCGGGACTCGAACTCCGACCCCTCGGTCGTCCAGCCCGTAATTAGTCGCTATACCTACTGCGCTATTCCGGCTCCCTCTACACTCAGACTTATATTCCATGATTTGATAGGCCTACTGTTGTAGGTTGTTTTAATATACTATCTCTTACGTAAGAGAACTATTCATTTGGGAAGGGTGATAAATTTAAGCAACGGAGACTCAAAACTTTCACTCCAATAAAGAGCCTACTAAATTATGTAATAAAATAATAAATTCGCAAGAATTACCAGAGAAGTTTATTCCAATTGTGTGTCACTCTGACCTAGTTGCTAGATTTCTCAATGAACTGCGGCAAGCATCGCAATAACAAGTTCATTTTCGCAACTGCTGCAATTCAGACAGCAACAGGTGACGAAAAATAATACGTTATTAAGACCTGTCTGCTCCTATGTAAAATTCATGTTACACTTTCGCGAAAAATGTGCCTGTTTCTATATGCTTAATGTTCTAACAAATTTCGTATTACAGACCCATCTTAGAAAGTTGATTCACAGCTGGTAGGAGAATTCTCTCCTTTATTGAATCGGGATGTCCTTCATCTTGCTCCGAAAAGCCAAAGATTGGCTCCTGTCCCGAATCAGTTGAATCAGTCCACATCTTATCGCATTAACTCTCCTACATCGACTATAATATTATCCTCCCCTTGGAGGCTTTCGGAACGTTTTGGTTTCAATTTCGCATTTCCTCCATACATGCTACATACCCCAACACTGTCATCCTTCCTGTTTCCATCACCGTGACAATATCAGCTGGAGAATGAAATTAGGAATCTATTGCGTAAGTTCCTGACATCTTGTCTTTCTCTTTTTTATACATGAAAATATTTCCTCCAGTTTTTTTTTTTCATTTATACATTAGAAATGAATGCTTCTTGTGTTTAAAACTAATAACTTACGGGCCCTTAGGACTTTCAATATCTCTCATAATAGACCGTTTATAGGCTAATGCATAGACCAGAATATAGTCCAGAGACTTCATGCCAGTTGATATATTGGGTTTTCGGACTTTATCCATCGTCCTGGTTTTTAAGATAACTAATAAAAACACGACGTTTCGGAAACTGGATCTGTCTCCGTCCTCAGGTGAAGGAAAACACCTATTCTGTTGGGTCCGTTAGAAAGAGCTAGCCTCAATCAATCAATCAATCGTCCAGTGATTGAGGCTAGCTCTTTCTAACGGACCCAACAGAATAGGTGTTTTCCTTCACCTGAGGACGGAAACAGATCCAGTTTCCGAAACGTCGTGTTTTTATTAGTTATCTTAAAATCCAGGACGATGGATAAAGACTGTTACTGTATTATTAGAGTGCTTGCGTAGAGGAATTAGCACCGCAGTTTCAGAAAGTATTTGTATTGCTCGTGGTGGCTACTCATACTCATAATGTCTGCAGGTGGTTGGACTTGCATATAGCCGCAATCCTTCTTGCAATAGACTCGTACAAGTTTTGAACAGTGTCCAGCGGAATTTTATACCATTCTTTTTGAAGAACATTTTCAAGTTGCCTTAGTGTTGGAGGCGGGAATCTGTTCCTCACTCTACTCTCGAAAACTGACTCAATGATATTCAAATCTGGTGAGTGTTCTGGCCAGGGAAGATACTGAAGTTTACCTCCATGCTTTTCTAACCGTGACTGAACAGTGCCAGCTATGTGAATGTGAGTGCTGTAATCTTGGAAAAATGCATTGTTTGGGGGAAATTATAGAATGCAGCTGATTACCCAACCTGCCCACGTACTCCCTTGCAGTAATTCGGCCACGAAGGGTGATAATGGGACCAATAGAAACCATGATATTGCTGTCCAAACCATCACAGAACCTCCCCCGTGTTTCATTGCTGGTACCAGACATTCAAGATTGTAGGTTTCCTTCGGTGTTCTCCAAACGTATACTCTTCCTCATGTAGGGAACTTGGTAAAGGACGGCTCACCTGAACATATCACGAGTGCATTTCCAGTTGTCTGATGTTCAGGTTTTATTGTCATGACACCGTCTTTTACGTATCTGAGCATTATTTTCGGCAATCAGAGGTTTAGCAGTTGGAGCCCTGCAGTGGATTCTGGATTTGTGAAGTTCAATTCGGACAGTTTGTGTGGAAACAGGGACTTCAAGGTGAACATTCAGTTCTGCTGTCACCTGTGCTGCAGTAGTTGCGTGATTGTTCGAAACAATCCTTCTCAGTTTGTGTGTGTCTGTCAACGTTGATTTTCGCCCACTGTTCCTCTTCGCTGATGTTGTCTTCCCACGATTCGTGTAATCGGACATAACTTGAGAAACTGTCGCTCTCGATACACCTAATAATATAATAGTTTTCTGTCACAGATGCTGGAACTAAACACGCATCACGATCTGTCATCTTTCAAAGTCTGTCAAGTCTCCTATTTTCCGTTTCTTTCAAATGTACTGTCACTCAGCACAATCACTTATGCACTTACACGAGCGCTACAGAGTGAAGCAAAAGGGAGAACATTCACTGTTGCCAACTGAAGGCCTTTCAATAAAGCCAATACAAATTCTATTCAGGAATTTTTTGGTGTTTCCGTTATTTTGTCCACTATATTTCACCATTTTAAATTCGTCAGACATAACCCCTAATGTTTCCGCCGTCGACTTGTTAGTAAATGTTTAAGGAAACATAAAGAGGAAGGAAGGGAGAGAAGACAAAGAAACAAAGTAATAATGAAAGGAAAGTGGGAAAAAATAAATAAATGAATTAATCATACATGCATAAAGACAGACATGCATAAAGGAAGAAATAAGAAGAGAAACAGATTCACAATGCAAGGACAGTATGAGAAAAACAAATAAGTGAACACAAGTGGAATAGTTAAGGAGAATTAAAAATCAGTAATATATAAGAAGATATTCGAACTGTCAATTCTGGAATTGACACACAATTAAACCAGAAGCGGAAATGTGAGAGGTGGTTAAACGCATAAAATAAACGAAAACCTGATCGTGGAAAAACATAGAACAAAACGCTATAGAACATAGCGACAAATGGTTTCGAGCAGGGCAGCTGCCCCACAAGGAAAGTCAAAGGGAGTAGGAATAAAACATGCCCGACCACGGTCAAACATCAACAACACCTGAAGATAATAGTATATAGTAACTCTAAAATTAAGTTAACAGATGCCAATCTGAATAATATATATCAATAACGATATTAAGACACGAAAAGTAACATGAATATAAAGAACAACAATTTTAAATCACTGTCTAAACATTGTAACAGAACATAACAACACAACATATAAAAGTAAAGGTATCCCTGTAACAGGTCTTGGAGGCCCATAGGGTTATGAGATGTTGAGGTTCCCACATTTTCTAGATAATCGGCTCATAGACGGCGGCAAGGTTGTCAGCCCTACGCGCCGGCCGCCCTTTACCCCCAAGAATATTCCAAGAATATTCCTGGTACTCATTTCTGCTAGATGCTGAGTCGACCCCAGGGCATAGTGCGGCATTTCATGAATTTTAAAGTTTTATTATATATATATATGTGTGTGTGTGTGTACATCCATAAGCATCTATTCAAATATAAGACTTTCGTTCCAATTTCAATACATATTTATATACGAATTATAATACTTGTATTTCAGATACAAGTTTGAATATATTAACTGAAGAGGAAATCAAGTGCATATAGTAATAGTTATTATATTGTAATATATTAATTCATATACAAAGCGCAACTCAAAAGTTTAAAATATTCGTTAGTGTGTACTGCCTGATGATGGTTTTATAAGCCAAAATATGTAGCGCATTGTCATACTATCAAGACCAATGAACTCATTGTACGCACTGAGATGTGAATGAGATTTCGATGATTGTTGTGTTGAGACGGTACCCATACGAAGGAATTATAAAGGCTAGTACAACAGGATGCATTCCTTGAAGATTATATCTTATTCTATTCATGGAAATGTGAGTTCAAGCAATCGTATAGGCATATTACCGTCGTGTTACCTTAACAGACCTAACAAATGTCCACTTGGGTTATCCCGTTGGTTTCAGACTAGAGATTTCGACACAATTTTACTGAATTAGTCTATAAGGATATTTCTTATGTGCATGTTTTTGAAAGGAAAGAAACCTACCAAATCTTCAAAAACAGTCACATTCCATAATAAATACTAACTACACCTGACATAGCCATTCCAAAATATTAAATCACAAAACAGGTAAAGCACATTAAAGTACAATAGTGCTTGCTCGTTCATGACCTGCTATATAACTGCAATTACTGTATATGCTGTGCATTAACGCTCGACAGTTTGTTGTTGTGCTAATTCGGAATTGCGCAGTTTCAGAGATTTTACTCTTTGTTCAAATGCATAAGTGTACGTTACCCCACAATTTCTGTCAACCTCTGTACACAGACGTAAGAATTTATAATAATACCGTAGCTTCGAGCTTTAGCGTGTGAATTACACTTTGCGCTAATCTTGATGTATATGTTTCAGGCGTTTTTGCATGTCTCCACATCGTACTGTCACCTCAAGGAGCGAGTCCTCTACGAGAAACTCTATCCCCCTCCTGCAGATCCTCATAAAATCATTAAATGCGTCGAATGGTTGGAAGATGACGTCGTTAACGCCATGACCAAGAAGTAAGTTCATACACAATCTGAAATGCGTAAGATTCTATGGTCCTGTAAATTAGGCCCGTTTTACAATTCAGTCAAACAATGAAGTGAAGCAGTTCTGCTTGATAAACACTGCCTATTTTTGCAATACATTTAATATACTCCGCCGTGGTCAGCTTCACGGTCGGAATTCTTTAGAAACCACGATGCATATCGAAAAGGAAGCTGGGTGGATCCCAGGACTGATCAGGAAGTGCCAGCGAAGTAAATACTCATACAGACGCCTGGAATTCTACCCCAGTTGTCCATATCATGCCGATCACAGTGGCCTCGCGGTCTAAGGCAAGAATGTCTTCACCCGCTCGAACACTGGGATCGTGGGTTCGAATCCCACTTAAGGCATGCATGTTTGTCTGCGTTTATTCTGTGTTTGTGTTGTCCTGTATATACAGCGGCCTTGCGACGGGCTGATCCCCTGTCCAAGGAGCCCTACCGACTGTCTAAGATTAAGAAACTGAAGTGAAACAACGTTTCACTGATGCCCTATGATCCAAGCGGGAGCAACAGAAATAAAGATAGAAAAAAAGAAGAAATCCATATCATACCCACTGACTTCAGTGACTCAGTCTCATCTCTGTTATCATTATGGGACTTAATGAATACAGAGATGGTGCCCACAAAGGTCCAGATAGAGAACAAAACGTCCGCGGGTATGCTGACTCTCGAAATCGAGATTTTCTCCTTCCGAACCTTGTCCGACAGAAGTATCATCCTGACCAGATACTGGTAGCTTCACGCAGTCCATCCAGAGAGATGCAGGGAGGGGAACTTAAAGTAGGCCACGACCGCGTCATCAAATATCCGTAGCAATCCACTAATATCCAAGCACACTAAGTTTACTTTATACAGTTCGACACTACGTAACCTCTGCAACTGAGTTGCAGGTGTATTACGTCTACATGAGTACATTTTGACAGAAACAGCTGTGGTTTCAGTAACTGATACTCAATTATTTGCTTCAGAATACTGGGGGAAATACCCAACACTTATGCATACACCAAGGCCTTGTCTGAAAGTTTAGTCGCAGAGCAGATGGACAAGCTGCCCGTCATCATTCTCAGGCCATCCATTGGTGAGTCGCCATTTTGTGTTTTTGTAAAAGTAAAGCATAAGTTAATTTTTCATATATTCTTTGTAGGTAGTCACAAAAAGAACGATTATTGGGAAAGTCATACATGTTTCTTCCATCTAGAGTCTAGGCGTTTCAACTGAAGAACAATAAATATGGAATAAATGAAGTAGTGTGTGTGCACACTAAATTCTGTTACGAATTTTATTTTTATTATGTCTGCAAACAGCTATGAATTCATGGCAGAAAACACAGACCTCATTAAGACCCATATATTTTATTGGTAGATCGCAATCATCATCATCATCATCACCACCACCACCAACTTCTTCTTCTTCTTCTTCTTCTCCTCCTCCTCCTCTTCCTTCTTCTTCTTCTTCTTCTTCTTCTTTTTCACTGGCACTACAACCCTGTGTGGCTCTTGGGCTCCTCCATGCTTTCAGAACAGCACATTTCTTCGAGTTGGTATTGTCAGTCCTATGTCAATCAACCTGGAGGAACTTAATGAAATACATATTCATGGAGCTGAGCCCTTCTGGAGGAGCCACCAATTCTGCAGCTACTCAAGAATTTCCCAGCATTTTATGGAACACGAAGGTTCATTACCGTGTTCACAAGAGCCCTCCACTTGTCCCTATCCTGAGCCAGATCAATTCAATCAATACCATCCCATCCTAAAGATCCATTTTAATATTGTCCACCCACCTATGCCTTGGTCTTTCCAGTGGTCTCTTTCCTTCTGGCTTTCCCACCAGTATTCTATATGCATTCCGCGTCTCCTCCATTCGTGCTACATGCCCTGCCCACCTCTTCCTTCTTGACTTGATCATTCTAATTATACTTGGAGAAGAGCACAGACATACATACATAGAAGAAAGAAGAGGGTAATTAGTAACAGTGTACCTAGCCACAAATTTTTGCAAATATAGACCACTACTCTAAATAACTATAGACATAAGTTCTACACACATAAACGTTATTTTACACATGTAAAAAGATATAATATGTACACATATAGGCCTTTAGAAACATAGAACACTATACAAAATTTACAATTAAGCACATCATTATATGCTCTTAATCCTGTCCTAGTAACAAAAATATATATCAATATCAATATCAATATATCAATATATATATTTGTGAATAAAAATTTTTCTTGCTTACTGCTAATGGATAAATATGTCTTCTCC